GTATAAGCCGGTAAACGAGCAGATGGATCACCTAATGGTAAGCAATCGGCGTCGCCCATGGGCATCTGGAGGCGTTACAAGTGCGTTACCAGCCTTTTGGGGATAAGGAATTTGAGACGATTTGTTGATGTTCAAAAGTGCCTTTCTGGTCTAATTTAAATAAATGATTTTGACTTTGACTTTGGCTTTGAGGATTCTTGGGATTCAGGGATTGGGGAAGAGGGGGGCGAGGGGTAATTGGGCTTTCGGTAATCTCACTCACACGACGAAACACAACGCAAGCGTTGTTTCATGTCAGTTTTCTGCTCGGCCGTGGTATCACTCCGGTCGAGCCGGTCCATTCGTGCCGAAGCATGGCTCTCTCACACTATGCGCATGGTCCATGTGTCTAGGTTTAGTTTCTATCAGAGTAACCGTTGCATGGATTGGTATCCGATTCTTGGGTCGATGTCATGTCAAGTTGCGTCAAGATTGGGTGAAGATATTGAAGTGAAGTTCTCTTGATCCTTTTAAACTGCGATCTTCAACTCGTTTGCCAAACAGTGAGATTACGTAATTACGTACGACATAACATAACATAACATCACGCCTTTTATCCCCGAAGGGGTAGGCAGAGGTGCACATTATGCCACTGTACAATGTAATACCCACTTTTCACTATTAATGTTATGAGTCCCATGTAATAGGGGGTGAGTTTATAGCCATATACCGGGCACAATTCCAGACTCCGTGCTACTACTGTACATTTTTTTTTTAAAACCCAGTAATAGTTTGCCCGACCCGGGAATCGAACCCGAGACCCCTGGCCGTGCGCCGTACGACATATTCCTCTTTTGTAGAGGGGGTCTATAGTCCAGTAGAAGATTCACAAGACCTGTGAATATAATGATAAGTGATGAATTGGTGTTAAACGCTCCTCTACACATTAATTGTTATCGGATCACCTGATGGTAAGCAATCGGCGTCGCCCAAGGATACCCGAAACACCAGAAGCGTTACAAGTGCGTTACCGGCCTTTTGGGAATTCGGGGATTGGGGAGACTGGGGAAGGGGGTAATTGGTCCTCCGGTAACCTCACTCACACGACGAAACACAACGCAAGCGTTGTTTCACGTCTATTTTCAGTGAGGCCGTGGTATCACTCCGGTCGAGCCGGCCCATTCGTGCCGAAGCGTGGCTCTCTCACACTTAAGTTTATATTTAAAAAAAGATTACAACTAGAGGATGAAACAGCAGTAATTACAGAGGCAAAAACTAAAGGTTTTTTACTTTGGGAAAATCATTTTGCTTACGATAGCACTCATCACATTCAAGTTTAGCCAAAGGCTGTGTAACAACCACAATACTAAGAAGCGAAACACAGAAGCAAAACCAGGACAAAAACCTGTTTATACAGTGTACATATGTGTAAACCATCAACACACTACATCTCAATGACGTCATTGAATAATGCCTACGTAATAAAAATAAAGAAAAAAATCAAGAAAAAATTGCGGTGATCGTAAATCAATCTATTCATTGTTAATATTATATTAAGAGAAGTACTCTTGAAGCTCGCACATGAAGCTACTCTTATCTAATTCTTTCAATCGACTTTCAGTTTTATCATAGAACAATAACGTACAAAATTGCTTAAAGAAATTGGATAGATTGAGGTAGGTTGATATGCTACTGGGTGTACTTATGGTAATAGATTAGAATGACGTATGCTGTGACATTGACCATGTATTTACCTAAGTGAAGTAGGGACATTCAGCGACACGTCAAGCTATATAATCCAGTTGATCTTGGTCTCAGTTTGTATGATATTTCCGAAGATTCGACGTTCAGTTTATACTGGTGTTGTGTAGCTTAATATGTACATGTTATACTGTATAACTACAAAAAATCGCAAGTATTTGGTCCTTAACGCTTGAGTCTCGTGTCTACGTGTGCCTCGCCATGTGTCGCGGTGATTCACGGCCTAAAATTTTAACAGGAGCGAATATGTTAAACATTTGTCGGTCAGTACGAATGTACTGACGCTGGCTTTGAGATATTTGAATGAAATAACCAGATATTTGGTTTGAAAAACTTAATATACATTTATTTTGTATTTGATGTACAAGCTCGTGCTTCATTTCATAAGAATGTATCTGTATATGATATCTGGCGACACGGTTGGTGCGGGTTTGATTCCCGCACGGAGCATCTATTTGTGTGATTCGCTAATGTTTGTTCCGGGTTTGGGGGTCATGTGTATGTGAACTTGTATGTTTGTAAATGCACCCACGATACAGGAGAAAATTCTAGGATTTTCTCTCAAAAACGTTGGCCCACACTGAGTAGGGCAATGTATAAAAAAAAAATTATACTGTATCTGTGTACCGTATGATGCAAAAATGTACCTACCAATGTATCAAAAAGTAAGTGTGACATTTCATAATTAATTGTATGTTATGTGTTAAGAAAACGCGACGTCGCCGCGACCGCGCACGCTGCTCATGAGGAAGAACCCCTCTGTGGTTCGAAACTAGTAGAGCTTTTCTCAGTATATTCACGTGAGTACCTAACCCGCGATTTTACTTAATTTAGTATGTCTCACGATTGTATGTTATGTGTATCTCTGCTTATTCAGAGGATTTAAAATATTGAGGACAAGATTACCAAAAACCATATTTTTCGCTTCGGTATCGATTGTAGATCACGCCGCTAGTATTCTTTTAAAAAAATACCTTTTAAAAAAGGCCGGGAACACACCTGTGACTCCTCTGGTGTTACGGGTGTCCATGGGCGGCGCTCATCGCTTACCATCAGGTGATCCGTCAGCTCGTTTGCCCCATATCTATATATATAAAATTCAAAGGTGATTGACTGACTGACTGACTGACATAGTGATCTATCAACGCACAGCCCAAACCGCTGGACAGATTGGGCTAAAATTTGGCATACAGATAGATGTTATAACGTAGGCATCCGCTAAGAAAGGATTTTGATAATTTCCACCCCCAAGGGGGTAAAAAAGGGGATGAAAGTTTGTATGAAACTTTGTCAGTTTTTAACTGATCGGGTTGAAATTTGGCATGCAGATAGATGTTATGACGTAAGCAGCCGCTGTGAAAGGATTTTGATAATTTCCACCCCCAAGGGGGTAAAATAGGGGATGAAAGTTTGTATGAGACTTCGTCAGTTTTAAACCGATCGGGTTGTAATTTGGCATGCAGATAGATGTTATGACGTAAGCATCCGATGTGAAAGGATTTTGATAATTTCCACCCCCAATGGGGGTAAAATAGGGGATGAAAGTTTGTATGAGACTTTGTCAGTTTTAAACCGATCTGGTTGAAATTTGGCATGCAGATAGATGTTGTGACGTAAGCATCCGGTTTGAAAGGATTTTGATAATTTCCACCCCCAAGGGGGTAAATTAGGGGATGAAAGTTTGTATGAGACATTGTCAGTTTTAAATTGATCGGGTTGAAATTTGGCATGCAGATAGATGTTGTGACGTAGGCATCCGCTGTGAAAGGATTTTGATAATTTCCACCCTCAAGTGGGTAAAATAGGGGATGAAAGTTTATATGAGCCTTTGTCAGTTTTAAACCGATCAGGTTGAAATTTGGCATGCAGATAGATGTTTTGACGTAAGCATCCGCTTTGAAAGGATTTTGATAATTTCCACCCCCAAGGGAGTAAAATAGGGGATGAAAGTTTGTATGAGACTTTATCAGTTTTAAATCGATCGGATTGAAATTTGACATGCAGATAGATGTTATCACATAGGCATCCGCTAAGAAAGGATTTTGATAATTTCCACCCCTAAGGGGGTAAAATAGGGGATGAACGTTTGTATGAAGCTTTGTCAGTTTTACACCGATCGGGTTGAAATTCGGCGTGCAGATGGATATTAAGACGTAAACGTCCCTTTAGAAATGTTTTTGAACATTCTCGGCCCAAAGTGGGTAAAATAGGGGGTGAAAGTTTGTATGATATTATGTTACAGCCAGTTTTAAATTGATCGGGCTGAGACTTTGCATGCATAAAGTTACTATGACATAAGTATCTTTTTAGAAAGGATTTTGATAAATTCCACCCCTACGGGGATAAAATAGGGAATGAGAGTTTGTATAAATCTTCTTAGCCGTTGAATTTAGAATCATTGAAACTTTTTGATTTACATTCGGTAAAACGATGATTTAGGACCTGGGTAACGTATGATAGTTTTTTCACAGATGTCTCACGAGAACGGGAACTATGCGTCAATGCCCCAGGACTCTCTAACTCTTAACCACTGAACTTATTCTAGAGAGATCCGGTACAGCAATAATCGATAGAATAGTTTTTATTACTCAAACCTTACGTGATCGGGCACTGTACTGGTAAGATACCTGCGGGATTATTTATTTATTGAAACTACGATAAATCATTTCAAAATAGGTAAATCTTACTTGGGCACTGAATTGATTCTGGTTAATTCTGTCAGAAGTCATTAATCTACGCGGACGAAGTCGCGGGCAACAGCTAGTTCCATAAAAAAAATATTCAATGAAATTTGAATGAAATACAGTTTTTACATTCCTACAATTTTATTATATATATATAGATTTCAATTTTTTTTTTAACGGTTGTACCATAGTTTTTATCACAGAAATATTATAAAATTCTTTAATATATCTGTGGTTTTTATACTATGGTTGTACTACACAAGTACAGATTCGAAACGCAAATAAGAAAATGACTTGCAACCTTGCACTACATCTAAAAATACTTACAAAAAAATCTACAACCTATGAACTCATCGCTTGAACCAAATGTGTGGAATAAAAACTCGCACTAATTGTTATTGGTTACACCGCAGTGTACGCGCACCCTTACATCATCTTTATCAACATGTTTACTCACTACAACGCTTAGTGTTCCCCCACATTGCAACGCGAACGGACGTGTCAACGGAGTTAATAAAACAATATAAATAAATGAAAATAAACTTAAAAAAAGTTATGTTATAATAGTGAGACAAAATGAAAGTGATACTCTGTGTTGTGCTCCTCATGGTAGGCGCTGCTGTCAAAGGTAATTGCAAATTGCACCTTAATTGTTAAGATATAAACTCGGTTATCGTGTGATAGGGAAGTGTATTGCAGTTTTATTTTTAATGGAGGTGGCAGGAAGATGCCAATATAGTCGGGAATAGACTAGAAGTGTTCCGATTTAACTGACAACTGGTACCTGTGAAGGAATATCAGGTTTTATTCATGCGATTTTCGACCTTATATTAATAGTTATAGTACTTAATTGTTTAACAATAAAGAAAAACTGGCAAATGCCTCTAAAGAAATTGATTCAGTAATTCAGCATATAATTTTGACAGACAAACAAAATTATGAGTTCGTTTGTTATTCTGTTACACAAATAACTGTGTGAACGTAATGGTATGCGTCCATGTATAATATATTATAGTCAATAGGTACCTACCTATTATGTATATTTAATAAAATTATTCCTACTTCATAAAAAAGTAAATATTAAAAAAAAACTTAATTTAAATTGTTCTTACGGTATGCGTAAGCTTGCATTTTATAAGGAAAAGATTATCAAATATTATTTTTAATCGATTTCAAAGCCGATTTGTATTGTTCAAAATTTTGATGTATAGTGACAGCTGGACTGAAATTTTGACTTTTGACAGGGTTTATATTGGCAGGAGTACAGTAACGTAGGCTACCTTTAAGTACCTCGCGGACGAAGTCACGCGCAATAACTAAGCTTGACAAAACAAAATGAAATATTGCGTAATATATTATTATTTTGATTGACTATTGAATACTATTTATTTATAGAGATTTTCTTTACATTACTACAGTAAGAATCTGTTACTAGGAGTCATTCAGTAGCTGTAAAAAAGTAAATCTATTATTCGCACTTAGGAATGACGCATAGCGCCTCGAAAATTTCAAATTACCCACAATTCTACAAAGAATGGTACAAGCACATCAAGCTATCCCCAAAAACTTCAATAGAAATTTGACTTTACACCCTAAGTAATTGAGTACAAAATCAATTGTAGAAATTACATTCGAGTGTAGATTGACCTGCGTATCAATACATGAATATTTTCTTTGTACATACATTTTAAGGTAGATTATTGGTTTTCTCGAGATGGATAAGCATCAGTGTATGTACTGATAAGGCTTGATAAGGAAATGTTTGTGTAACCTATCGCGAGTGACACTCAAATAGGTATGTGACCGTTTCCTGCTATTGCTTGTATTGGGGGGAAAGAGGTCTACTTTGATGGGTTTTGATAGTTTGTAAGCTTATTCAAAATCGGTTCCGCCGCTCCATTTCCAAGTTGGTTAATGTAATAATCTAAATTCAGTACCTAGGTATATTTTAAGTTGTATCTACATATTTATTTATTCTTGTCCTTACATTATTTGAATGTATTTTAAGGAAACAAAAGACATACATACATAACTTCACGACTTTTATCCCCGGAGGGGTAGGCAGATGTGCACATACGCCACTTAATACCACTGTACAATGTAACAAACAGTTTTCACTATTTTATGTTACGAGGCCCATGTAATAGGGGGTGAGCCTATTGCCATATACTGGGCACATTTCCAAACTCCGTGCTACAATTGAGATTTTTTTGTAAAAATCCAGTAATACTTTCCCGATCCGGGAACCCAACTCTAGACCCCTTTCCGGCAGTCGCTCTTGTGATATTATTCAATCGGCCAATGAGGCAGTCTTCAGAGGAAATAAAAGATTTCTGAAGTAAAAAAAAAATCAGTACTTACCTAGTTTTGGATTTCATCATATACAGACAACAGACAGTTTGAATGTGAACAAATAAATAAAAATAACTAAAACAAAGCACAGATGTTTTATTCATTGAAGTAGGTACGTAGCTAATCCGGGGAGTTCCCTAAAGATCAAAGTCACATAAATTATTATATTACCATGCATGCCACGGACTAAACTATAGTTTATAGTACGGTCGAATTCTAGACATAGGTACCTGAATAAACATACAATTCAATGTCGTCAAACATTTTGGGTGCATAGTAGTCAACATCTTATCTTAATTAAGACATTAGCTCCATTGTTTAAATTATAGTATACTAGCTTTTGCACGCGGCTTCGCTCGCGTTACAAAAGGATAAAAAGTAGCCTATGTGACATATACCAATACACACAGCGAAATCTATACTAATATTTTTGTTTTTCCTCGGAAATGTCAATTTTTTCCGGGATAAAAAGTACTCTATTATTTAATCCAGACTTCTAACTTTACGTCTGTAAAAATTCAAAGCAAACGGTTAAGTAGTTACGGCGTGAAAGTGGAACAAACAAACAAACAAACAAACTCACTTTCCGATTTATAATATTAGTTAGGATTTACCCAAAATGTTCTTTGTTTCTTTTTCTTGTATCTCCTAAGCAATAACAGAAGTGCACACTTATTTTTACGATCCATGCCACGATCTAGTTTTTAATTTAAAATACGTTTAGTACCGTTGACGGTCATCGAATGAATAGTCACTCTGGGGTCTCCCAGGGTGACTATTCCTTTTTCCTTTTCGCACACCATTCCTTCGGGTTTTTCACCAACTCGACACGAGGAACTGATCACACGTGTGTCCAGTTGGTGAAACTTTAAATTAGCACTAATTATTCTTTCGTCATTTGGACACGCCAAGGTTTTTATGTATGTCCACATAGTGAAAATTAAAATTAATTACTTTTATGTTATCGTCAACTGGACACACCTATATTTTTTTTCTAAAAAAGGTACAGTTAAGTTAAAAATTGTTTCGTTTTTAAGACAAATTTTGAAATAAAACAAATGAGTAACAATCAAATATTTATATTAGAGTTAGACTCAAAGACTGTAATAAAACAGGTTCCATGTTGAAGATTTGACAAGCATAGTACTCGTAACATGGTAATAGCGACTTTCAAACACTTTCGGTGTCAAAAATATATTTTTTACAAATTCACAAATGGTGAATAATTACAAAATTACCCGGTGAAATTACTAGGTGGGACGTTTAGAGGACAACGATGATTGTGATTCAAAAATATTATCTGCGTGACTGTACTTTGTTATACATTCGGGTAAAATGTGAACGTGTGTCCAGTTGACGAAAACACAAAAGTAACTTAATTTGATTTTCACTATGTGGACATACATAAAAACCTTGGCGTGTCCAAATGACGAAAGAATAATTAGTGCTAATTTAAAGTTTCACCAACTGGACACACGTGTGATCAGTTCCTCGTGTCGAGTTGGTGAAAAACCCATTCCTTCCGTCTTGTCGCACAAAATTGCATCGCAGCAATTCGCATCGTATTTTTTGCGTTGCGAATTCGCATCGCATCGCAATTTTGTGTATGAGCCCTAAGACAAGTGTCGATAAATCTGTAATTGTCGGTTAGTTTAAACGCATAGATTCTAATGGAAAACGATGAGAAGGATTGTCTACTTTCTATCTTGACTACACAGGACTACATAGTCTACATAACCTCACGCCTGTATCCAATAGGGGTAGGCAGACTAAGGTACGCCAATTGCTACGATTCTTACGTCTTTCGCTCAAAGTCAAAGTCAAAGTCAAAATCATTTATTTCAATTAGACCAGGATGGCACTTTTGAACGTCAAACAACAAAAATTTAGAAGTGAAGCTAGTTGCTCATTCCAAGGTGCAGATTCCTATGGCGAAGAACGAGCAAGAAACTCCATAGGTTACTCTTTTTCAATCAGGTTTACAATACAATTCTCTAGTTACATAGTTTTATTGGTTCGATTGTGTGAGAACAATGCAACACCTAAATCCAGTCAAAGAGACTGAAAAAGAAAATAACCTTGAGGATAATAAAACGATACAGTCTGGAGCTGACCAGTTCTTCTTCTCAACAGTCATCAGTCATATATGCTTGTCTGTTAAAGGTACTTTTAATTCGGCCCTTTTTAAATATATCGCCAGTCTGGTCGATACACGCCCGTCTAGAAAGCATTATAAATTAATAAAATAAATTTAGGTACTACATGAAATATTTGTAGGTGCCGTACTCAATAGATATTAAATTGCTACCTAACGCCGAACCACGTACCGAAAACAACAAACTTTATCATAATCTGTCCAGTAATTTACGAGCCCTGCTTGTAGTGTTAACTGATTACTTCTAATCTTTAGTTCATGGATTATATTTACACACCATGACTAGTAGCTGTAAAGTAATTACTTTGTTATACAAAAATACGCCATTTTGTTTCCTGAAAGGTACCAAAACGGCACTTATAAACATTAATAATTCTTTTATAAATTACGCTAAAAAAGCCAACATGAACCCCCTCTTTTTAAGTCGGTTAATTAATGTACTGATTCTCCCAAACACTATTCTGTAAACGCATTAAAATCGGTTCAGCCATTCGCGAGAAAATCGCGCACACACATACACACATACATACATAGAGGTCAAAATGAGAACTTCTTCTTTGAAGTCGGTTAAAAAAGCATCTATTATTGTAATATCAATATCCCTTGATAAGCTCTACTCGACATAAAGTGTTAGTTCGCCTTATTTACCGTGATGCCGACACTTGGCAAGCCGTGAGTTGGAGATTGCACTTTAAGAGTATAAAGACAAAGTAACTATTTCCTTGACGAACAGTTTTGAAGCGTCAAAAAGAATTAACTCCAAAAAGGCTGGCAAGGGACTTGATACTTCTCTAATGTATCCATTGGTAGTGCCGATAGCTTACCATCAGGTGATCTGTCGGCCGGGCTATGCCATTTAAAGCTGTCAATGAATCTACGTTTCCTTATAATATGGTTGTTCCAAGATTCACCAACAGCATACACCCCTCTATTGCTTGGCATAGGCTTATATAGTGCAATAACACACTGCTATCTTATTAGTGACTATTTACTTCCGCTCTGCTCGGTTCCTATTGGTCGTAGCGTGCCGTTTTATAGCATATAACCTTCTTTGATAAATGCACTATCCAACACAAAAAGAATTATCCAAATTGGACCAGTAGATTTGAAGATTTGCGGAT